GCGCCGGGCGGGGGGCGCGTGGGGCAGGGGAAGGGGGGCCGGCCACTACGAAGCCTCACGCAGCCCCCTCTGTCCACAGCCGTGTGCAAGCAAGGATGTAACCTGCTCCACGGGGGCTGCGCCGTGCCCGGGGAGTGCAGGTGAGTGCGCCGCCGGCCCCTCTCCTGCCCTCGCGGGCCCCCTCAGCAGAAGCGGGTCTTGTGGCTGAGTGGGATGTCAGGGACCTGGCCCTGCTGGGGGGTCCCTGCTGCGGACCGCTGAGAGCCAGCGCAGGGCAGGCGCCTGTCCTGATGCAGGTAGTTCTTCGGCAGAGTGTGGCAAGGGGCGGGGGAGGGTGGCCCGGGCCATCCCACCTAACTTTGGGGCCAGGAGCCACCCAGAGATGGGTGCCCAGAGCACAACAGGCACGGAGGGCACAGGGGCTCATGCCATGGGCGGGGACAGAGAGAGGCCCAGTGTGGGAGTGGGACCCAGGAAAGAAGAGGGGCACTAGAGGGGGTGGGCTGGAGGGGGATGGAAGGACAGTGCAGCTGCTGTGTGGGAAGAACCAAGTGGGGAGGCTGCTGCAGGGCTGGGAGGTGGTGGGCGATGACCAGCAGGAGATGGGGAGGTGGGCGGGACCCACAAGCATCCTGCAGTGGGTTTGAAGGAGGGCTGGGAAGAAGAGCTAGGGGGCAGGGAGGAACCCAAGTCTTCCTGCCAGGGCCGCTTAACAGCAGAAGTGCCACGCCTGAGGCCAGATGGCCTCAGGAAGAGTAGGCATGGCAGAGCAAGGGAGGTGATATTGGGGGTCATGTGTCCTTGGTCCTGGGAGACATCACCAAAGCAGAGGATCAGTGTGACTCAAGACACACGGTGGGGAGCTGGTGGCACACAGGCAGGGTTTAGAGCCTCAGGCCAGGGGCAGATGTAGAGGAGAGGTCAAGGAGCCCACACACGGGATGAGCTGAGGGTCCAGGGCACCAGGAGATGACGCGGGATGGGCTGGGGGTCGTAGGGTCATCGGGAGATGACACGGTTGGGCTGCGGGTCGTAGGGTCACCGGGAGATGACACGGATGGGCTGTAGGGACACTGGGAGATGACACGGGATGGGGGTCGTAGGGTCACCGGGAGATGGCACGGGACGGGACAGGGGTTGTAGGGACACCGGGAGATGACATGGGATGGGCCAGGTGTCGTAGGGACACCGGGAGATGACAAAGGACGGGCTGGGGGTCTTAGGGACACCAGGAGATGACAAAGGACGGGCTGGAGGTTGTAGGGACACTAGGAGATGACAAAGGCCGGGCCGGGCCCAGGAGATGACACGGGACAGGCTGGAAGTTGTAGGGACACCAGGAGATGACATGGGATGGGCTAGGGGTCGTAGGGACACCGAGAGATGACAAAGGACAGTCTGGGGGTCATAGGAACACCGGGAGATGACAAAGGACAGGTTGGGGGTTGTAGGGACACCAGGAGATGACATGGGATGGGCTGGGGGTCATAGGGTCACCAGGATATGAGAAAGACGGACCGGGTGTTGGTTGGGGGCATGAGAAGAGTGAGAGGTCTGAGTGTCTCCTGCAGGTAGGGGAAACCATTGGAGACCTTGAGCAGGGCCTGGGTGGGGTGGGGGGCTGGGAGCTGTGGGTGAAGCTTGTTGTCTGTTGGGGGGAGTAAGGGAGCCGGGCAGCAGGAGGCGCCGGGCTTGGAGCAGGTGAGGGGTACAGTGTGGAAGCCGGGGTGGGTTCCAGGGATGCACAAGGATGGCCCGGGGGCTGGGGGACAGGTGGATGCTCAGTGAATCCTTAGGAGGGGCTGCAACCTGTCAGCCAAGCAGGGAGGGGCGAGGGAGTCCTGCCCCAGCCGTGGGGTCATCGACCCCAGGACCTCACTCGGCGGGGTGGGTTTGCTGTCATGGACATCTTGCAGCAAGGACATTGAGCCCAAAGAAGTGAAGTAATTTTCCCGGGGTCAGCCAGTGTTGGTTTGGGAGCCGGCTGGCTCGGGAGACAGGAAGGGAGGGCGGGGACCCCTATGCGTGTCCTGTGGTGGCTTTGGCCTAGGAGGTGGCACGAAAAGCAGCCTGGCCAGCCCCACGGCAGGGAGGAGGAAGCAGACTTCTCCGGCAAGGGCAGAGGTTGGAGGTGGGGAGGGGGTCCCCGACCCAGCCACGCTACTGCCACCTCTGAGACAAGTTGGGCCTCTGGGCAGTGCAGGGAGCACGGCAGGGGTAAGGGGGCACCTAGTGGGAGCCTGGCCCAGGGTGGCTTCATGTCTTGGGGGGCAGGCACCCCCAGGCGTCCTATCCTGGGCGGCAGAGGTGGGTACCAGGCAGGCTGGATGCCTGCAGCAGGACCATCCCCTGCGGCCCTGCCTTCTGATTTGTGTGATGACTACAAGTCTGGAGACTCTGGGCAGGCGGCCCATGGGCAGTGAGCGTGGCGGGGCTGGGTCTGGCCTGCCCCCTAGTGCCACGCACCACCTTGATGCTGGGCCTGTAGCCGAGAGGGCCAGTGACTGAGCAGCCAGGCTGGGAGGAAGGTGGGAGAGAGGTGGATCTCCCTCCTCCCCCTCCCCTGCTGGTGTGGACGGTGGGGAGCTTTAGGTGCGCCCCCGCCCACCGCGGAGGGTGAGGCCCAGCTGCCGCTGGTGGCTCAGGGCTCAGGTTTCAGTACAGGGCACCCCCCACCGGATGCTGCGGAGATGGCCCTGCCTTCCTGCCGCCTCCTCCCTGGGCTTCTGGAGCCACAGGCCAGGGAGGCTGGGGAGTTGGGGCCTGGTGAGGGCTGCCCCACCCAGGGCTGAGAGCACATCCTCGGGACCACAGGCGTCTGGGCGCTGTGCTTGGCCTCGTGGCTTCCTGGTGGGTGACCCAAGGCCTGTCACGGTTCCGCCCCCAGCCTTGGTCTCCTCACATCACCTGGAGGGAGGGTTCCCGGTGGGGATGAGCAGCCCTTGCGTGCGTGGTCCCTCCTCGAATGTCTGGGGCGGGATGGTGGAGCCATTTTTCAGCCTGGGCTTCCCTGTGGCCTGCCCGCTGAGCCTGTCAGCAGCCCTTGGCTGTGGGGCTCGGGGCAGCCCAGGAAGGGCCATGGCTCCTTCCTTTACAGAAATAAACTCACACAGCAGGTGCCCGCATGGAAGGGACGTGGCCTAGATGACAGTCCTGTTCCTCAGCACCTTCCAGTTCTAGGAAGGGGCCCTCGGGGGGCCTGTCCAGGGCCTGGAGGGCAGCCTGCTGTCCCCAGGGAGTCCGCTGCAGGACGATGGGCTCCTTCTCCTGACAGCAGTGCCCCCGAGTCGGGCTGAGCTCTGGGCCCTTGGAAGGCTGGCCCCACCTGGAGTGGGACCTGCATTAGTGGCCCGGGTGCCCTTTTTGCCCCAGCCGACTGCCTCCTCCTGAAGGACTTCCCAGAGAGAGTTCTGGCCCATAGGTGGAGGCAGGGCCAGGCCCTGGGGTTGTGGCCTTGGAGCCAAGAGGCCTCTCTAGGCTGTTTGCCAGGGAGCGGTGACTCTTCCTGGGTCAGGAACGGCCCTGCATGGGCCTCTTGCACGGCCGGCTTGGTGCAGAGCCTGTGGGCCTCTGTGTCCCCATCTGTGAGGTGGGCCCCTAATAGGGCTCCACGGGGAGAGAGAAGTTACTGTCCTCGAGTTCCAGGTGGGGTCACACGCAGCGCCCAAGGTCTCAGAGCTGGGGCTGAGCCCAGAGCCGTCTCCTGATGTCCCGCCGGCCTGCCCGGCCCGGGTGCTGCCCAGCCCTGGCGGCACCTGGCAAGCTGGGGCTGGCACGCTTGTTCCCGGGGTCCCGGCAGGGCCTTCCTTTCTCGGCGCTTGCTCTTGGGGCCCTGCTCAGGGGTGAGTCCCAAAATAGCTCGGGGAGGAGTGGCTGGGCAGCTGCGGCCGGCCATCCGAGGCCAGCGGCTGGGAAGTGCCCGTGAGGGTGCAGGCTGGCTGGCGGGGCTGTCACCCCCGCCTGGCCCGGGGCCTGCTCCGCTTCAAAGGCTGAGGCCGCCAGCCCTGGGGTGGCCCACGTGACTCCGCGCCTGCGTCCCGAGCTCCTGGAGTCGCCCCCCCGCAGCAGGCCTCACGCTCCCGGGCCTCCTGCAGGTGCAGCTACGGCTGGCAGGGGCGATTCTGTGATGAGTGTGTCCCGTACCCTGGCTGTGTGCATGGCAGCTGCGTGGACCCCTGGCAGTGCAACTGCGAGACCAACTGGGGTGGCCTGCTCTGCAACAAAGGTAGCTGGCGGCGGGTGGCCGGCCCGAGGGAGGATGCCCTCTGGGGAAGGTGGGCGCGAGGGCTGGGCCGGCATCTGAGGACCCTACCCGTGCCCCCAGACCTGAACTACTGCGGCAGCCACCACCCCTGCATCAACGGGGGCACGTGCATCAACGCCGAGCCCGACCGGTACCACTGCGCCTGCCCCGACGGCTACTCGGGCAAGAACTGTGAGCGGGGTACGTCGGTGGCCCGCTACTGGCTTTGGGACGGTGCCAGGGAGCCTGGCAGGGCCCCACGTCTCTGGCCTCTTGGTGCAGTGGGCACTCCCTGACCCCCGCCCTGGGGCCTTGGGGGCTTGGGGAGGAGCACTCATGGAAAGGTGGGGAGCCGGTGCTCTGCACCCCCAAACCCCTGCCCCTGCCTCTGGTTCCCAATGCAGCTGAGCACGCCTGTGCCTCCAACCCATGTGCCAATGGGGGCTCTTGTCACGAGGTGCCCTCCGGGTTCGAGTGCCACTGCCCGTCAGGCTGGAGCGGGCCCACCTGTGCGCTTGGTGAGTCTCCTCCCACGAGTGTGGGGGGCTCCAGCCTGGCATCTGAGGGGGTCTGGGAGTGGGGAGGGGGCAGGGTGGTCGGCTCCACAAATGTAGCCGAGGGGGTGGTAGTCAGGGCAGGAGTGACAGGTGCACGGCCCTGCCTCCCCCATGGACCCGGCTCCCCAGATGGCCCACGCCCCCACCCCTCCTGCTGTGTCCCTCCCCAGACATCGACGAGTGCGCCTCCAGCCCGTGCGCGGCAGGGGGCACCTGTGTGGACCAGGTGGACGGCTTCGAGTGCATCTGCCCCGAGCAGTGGGTGGGGGCCACCTGCCAGCTGGGTAAGGGTCGCGTGGGGCACGCGTGTGTTTGGACTGTGCTCTGTGCATGCGGCGGCTGCTGCTGGCGGTGCTGGGGCTGTGGGCGCTAGGCGTGGGCGCACGTGGGGCTGAGCCCCTTCGCTCCCATTGTCTCCTTCACAGACGCCAATGAATGTGAAGGGAAGCCGTGCCTTAATGCTTTTTCTTGCAAAAACCTGATTGGTGGCTATTACTGTGATTGCATTCCGGGCTGGAAGGGCGTCAACTGCCATATCAGTCAGTATGGGCGGCTGGGCGGGCTGCAGGTGGGCGGGGCTGGGGAGCGCAAGGACCCTGCCCGTGACCCTGCCCGTGACCCTGCCCCTTGTCCCCAGACGTCAGCGACTGCCGTGGGCAGTGTCAGCATGGTGGCACCTGCAAGGTAAGATGCAGCTGCCCTGCCCCTGCACACACGTGGGAGCTGCCCCCGGGGGCGGGGGGCTCTGAGGCTCACGCCCCGGCCTTTCCTTACCCTCCGCCAGGACCTGACGCCCGGCTACCAGTGTGTGTGCCCGCGGGGCTTCGGTGGCAGGCACTGTGAGCTGCAGCTGAACTCGTGTACCAGCAGCCCCTGTCACGGTGGCCTCTGCGAGGACCTGGTGGACGGCTTCCACTGCCACTGCCCCAAGGGCACCTCCGGGCCACTGTGCGAGGTGAGGCCCGGACCACTGCCCCAGGGGCTGCAGGGGCGCACCATCGTTCCCAGGCCACCCTAGCGAGCGGGACTGGCTGCAGTCGGGGTGGGCCATACAGAGTATCCTGGGCTCGGTTCTGGGTGGAGACCTGGTGTCAGAGCCCTGGGTGGGCGGGGGCGGGGGGGTCACAGGGTCACTTGTCGTGACGCGTGCCTCCTGATGGGGTGGGCCAGGAGCCAGGGCAGGTCAGCTGGCTGCCCAGGAGGCCGGAAGGATCTTAATGCCATAGAGCATGTGAGCAGCGTCAAAGAGGGGCCTTGGGGTGGGATGGGGTGCCCGAGGGTGTGTGGGGCCGCACTGTGACGTGTGTCCCAGTAGGGGTAGGTGATGCTCCCTGGTGCCTCACGACCCCACCTTCCTCTGACCTGCCCTGGCCTTTGGGGATCCGGGGGCACTAGGGGCAGGACTCCTGACCGGCAGGCCTCCTGGAACCCTTGGTAGAAGTTCCTCCCGTGCCTGTGGATCCCGGCGGGGACGCTTTTGGGAAAGCCCCACAGACTGGGCTCAGGGTGGCTGTGCTGGCTGGGGAGGGGGTCACGAGCTGGCTTTCCTGCCAGCAGGAGGGGCGAAGGCCGGATGCTGCCTCGTGAGACAGAGGAAGTGGGCCGCCTCGGAGCCGAGGGTGGCGGGAGGGGCCTGGTGGCCTGCAGGTGTTTCCGTCCAGCTGATGGGCCTGGACAGTCTCAGGGGGGCGGTCCTACAGGCTCTGGCCGAGGCCTGGGTGTGCAGGCTGGGCGGGGCCTGGGCCTCCAGGATTCCTCGGAGGGACACCAGGCGTGGCTGTCTCCCGGTCCCTCTGGCCCTCACAGATGCTCCCGCCCCGCAGGTAGACATAGACTTCTGCGAGCCCAGCCCCTGCCAGAACGGGGCCCGCTGCTACAACCTGGAGGGCGATTATTACTGTGCATGCCCCGACGACATGGGCGGCAAGAACTGCTCTGTGCCCAGGGAGCCGTGTCCGGGCGGGGCTTGCAGAGGTGGGGCGGGGCCCGCG